TTTATTTATTTATTTATTTATTTAGTGTGTGGCCAGCTCAGCCCACCAGGGGGCGGGCAGGCTGGCATGTGGTGCTGGGGGATTGAACCAAGGTCCCTGTGCTTTGCTTGACTTAGCTTGTTCTAAGTAGATGCTTTAGACCACTGAGCCATCTCACCAGCCCCTGGACAATCTTAATCACCATTTTTAGTCAATAAAATTAGAAGATACTTATTCACTTAGTCATATTTTTACTTTTTCTTTTCTTTTTTTCTTTTTTTTTTTTTTTTTTTTTCGGAACCAGGGATTGAACTCAGACCCTTGTGCTTGCCAGGGAAGTGCTTATTCTACTGAACCATCTCCCCAGCCCCCGTATTTTTACTTTTTAAAGTGGTTTACAGTGTTATACTTGGGCCAGGGAGGTACCTCAGTGGCACAAGTGCAAAGTTCAATTGCTAGTACCCCCCAACCCCCGCCCCCAAAAAAGGAAAGAAGGTTATACATTAGTGTGTTCATATTAGGAACTCCAATTGAACAAATGATAAAACATGACTTTATACATCATTATGACACTTATGTTTCTTATTTATCTTTTTCTTTTTACAAGTTGCATGACATCTCAGAATCGGAATTTCTTACTGAGGCTGAGATCATTTGTGACGTTGTGTGCCTGGTGTATGATGTCACAAACCCCAAATCCTTTGAATACTGTGCCAGGATTTTTAAGGTTTGTTGTTCTTATGGACTATGACTAAACATAACTTTGTATGAGGTGTTAATAGAATTTCAATGTGTTTCTAATCATAAGAAGCTTTTTAAAAAACATGCATCTTTATTATGACTAAAGTTTCTGGTTTCATTATGCAGTGAAAGAGAATAGACATATGTACTTACTTAATTAATTATTTTTGAGACAGGATCTCACTCTGTAGTGCATGCTAGCCTTGAACTTGCTTATGTAGCCCAGGCTGGCCTTGAACTCATGATGATCCTCCTTCCCCAGCTTTCCAAGTGCTGAGATTTCAGGCCTGCACCACCATGCCAGGCTAGACATACGTATTTTTAAAAAAATTTTATTCTACATGTGACTGATACGCATTCCTAGTTAAGAACTTTTGCAGTAAGGGAATGTCTTCTTAGCTTTAGAAATGTGTAGGAATTATATATTGCTAGTCACCCCAAACATAACGAGAGCAGGAGAATAAACCAGAGGCTTAGAAAATATGTCAGTTGCTTTGACAGTAAGATTCAATAGGACAGGGGCTGGCCAAATAGCTCAGCAGATTAAAGCGCCTGCAAGCAGGCACAGGTGCCGGTCCATGGATTCAGTCCCCAGCCCTGCCGCCAACCCTGCCCCCCGGGGCACCTTGAGACGGGGCTTGAGACTGGGCATGGTAGCGTGTGCCTGTAATCCCAGCACTTGGAAGGCTATAAACAGGAAAATCACTATGGAGTCCAATCCAGTAATGAGACCCTGAATATCCTGTAGACCCTTCCCCCC